CAGGGAAGAAAGCTGATGTTTGTTGAGGGTCTCCCAGGGGCCAGGCACTACCCTAGACACTGGACACGTCATCTCATTTGACAATCACAAAAAGCTTGAGAATGAAGTATTGTCCTCTTTTACAAAAGTGGAAACTGAAGCACAAGGACCTTAAGTGCATGCCCAGATCCACAGACCCAGCACATGGCGGGGCAGAGTCAGTCTGGGTCAAAGCTCTCTTCTCTATAATCACGTGATTGTACAGCCGGTGACAGAGCATCACATACCCTTTCTTCTTCAGAGGCATTTACCCCTTGGGGGACTTCCAGGCTGGGTGACTCTCATTTCAGGAACCCAGACTTCACACAGGAACTGTTTCCGTGGGTTGATTCTGTCCCCCATGCCGTGTGGGCGGGACAGACAAAAGGAAAAGAAAAAGGATTTGCTCAGGAAGATTTGACACCTGCAGAGGAGTAGACCCTCAGGGACAGGAGTCTCCCACCTCGGAGGATGCATTGGTGTCTGGTTGCCTGAGGCTGCCCTGATAAGAACACCCACGTCATTTCTTGGCCATGAAAATGGCTGCGGATGCTGATGCTGATTCCGATGTGACCACCCAGGTACAACCAAGCTAAACGTCAATGGGACTGGGCTGCAAACAGACACATGGTGTGGCCTTTCTGAGCATCCCTGAAGCCACGGCATACTCAGTTTTTAGTGTAAGATGCTACATACACACTTGGCTCCTTGTTCCCATTTCCCACCTGGGCTTGTTGGAAGGTCTAACGAGGGCACAGCGGAGCCAGCAAGGAGCAGAGATGGAGGTTATGTAGGAAGGTGAGGCTGGACCCAGTGATTCCTAAGCTGAGGCGGCTCACAAGGTGTAGGAGGCAAAGCTGACCCCTTGCCCTCAGGAGGAAGCAGAGGCGGCCCCAGAGTTTGAAGCACAGGTCCCAGAGGCTGGGGGTTAGGTTGCTGACTCAGACAAGGGGAGTAGGCACATGCCAGCGCCTCCCTGGGCTCAGGATGCTCAACTGAAATGTGGAGAGGAGACCAGATTGCTACCTGAATTTCTTTCCGCTCTAACATCCAACAATTCAAGACATTTAGTCAGGTGTGAACTGCCACAGTGTTGACACAACCTGATCCTCGCTAGCGCTTGACATTGACACAGAGAGAAGGAGGTGGGAGTCAGGGCCAAAGGGGTTTCACTAGCCAGGGAATAGGAATTGACCCAAAAGCAAGACCTCCGAGAATGTTGTCTTCTCCTCCTCCTCTGCTTCTTACTGTCTTCCCTTTAGTCTGTTTCCCCAAGAGTCTTAGTTTGGGTAAGAAAAAGAGTCAGGTAAGATAGAGCAAGAGACACCCCCTAGACTGCAGTGAGTATGCTGAGGGAGAAACTGGAATGACTCATCCATCGGATTTTCCCCGGAACCTCACACACGAAGGCAGGGGCTGGCTGGGCCCACCCTCCGTACTGGGAGCTTTTGCCTAAGTGGGAGGCCCACTTAGAATTAAAAAGAAATCAATTGGAAAGCAATACATGTTCAATTTAGAAACATTAGAACAGCAACAACAACCAAAGACAGCAGAGCGATAGCCATTATCCCACACGCAGGGCCAACGCCAGGTGGACAGCCTTCCAAGAGACGCACACCTGGCACACACTTTTGGAGAAACAAAAACTACCTTATATTGTTTATTGTGACCTTTTCTTCTGCATTCAGTTCATCATATCGTGATTTACTCCACCAATTTCCTCCTCTTGAACATTTAAATTGTTCCCAATTTTGACTTATAAAAAGTATATAAACTTATAGCCAAGTCTTATTATTTCCTTAGGATAAAATCATTGTTGCAGACTTGTTAGGTCAAAATGTAAATATTTTTGATCTTCTGATTCACACTGACAAATTGTCCATCAGAAACTCTACACCTATTTGCATTTCTACTGGCCGTATACAAGAACGTCTGTTTCCACCGTCACCAACACTGTGTATTTCCATTTTTTAAATGAAAGCTGAACAATGCAACTATGCTAAAATTTTGATTTCTTTGTTTGTTAATAAACTGACTATGTTTTCATAGGCTTGTTGTTTAATTGCATTTCTTCTTTTGTGAATTTCCCTTTGATGACCTTGATGCATTTTAATATCAAGGGGTCTATCTTTTCTTTCTATGTTTACAAGAAAAATTTAGTTTTAAGGGTATTAACTGTCGTCATATATCTTGCAAATAATTTTCCCCTTTAAGAAAAAGTCTTTTCACCTTTTTTATGGCTTTTTACATATAAGAGTTTTAAATTGTACATAGTCAGATCGATGGATCTCTTTCACGATTTCTGCCCTTGAAACCAGGCTCATCACTCAGAATTGAATGAGATGTGAGAGGAGTGGGATTAATGTTTCAAAAGAAGAACAGAAAGCTGCTCTCCACTTGCTCCATGAAAACTTAGGAAAAACTATCAGGAAAGCGGGAGGAAGAGGGGACAATTTCCCTTAGAAGCAGAGGCAGGTTACATGATGGCCGTCACACATTGTCTGCCCAGGCCTTCAAGGCTGAGTTGGACAGCTGGCTAGTGGGTTAGCCACTTACAAGCCGGGAAACTAGATGCTAATTGTTTCCCAGGATCTGCATGTACTTAAGCATCCTTTATTTAAAAAGAACAAAAAACATTTCATTATAAAAATAATGTGCTCATTACCAAAATTTCTAACTTCAAAGAAGTTGATAAAATAAAAAGTGAAAGCTTCCTTTCAGTCTTCTTGGACTCTAAGTCCTGAAAGGAGAGCCCTGTTAAAAGTCCGGCCAGAATCCTTCCAGGCTTTTGTCCATGTGTGCACTGATGATAGAATGTGATGTAATGTATTATCATGTAATAGAATATTAGTATCTTCTTACTCTTGGGTCTACTTCATTCTATTTTAAATATTATGCAGTATTTCATAATGTGAGACTACCACAATTTCAGTTGTTTGCAAATTTTTCTACAAAAAATGCTGCAACAAATATCCTTAAAGAGAATTTTTGCACATTTATGCAAATACTTGTGTTGGATAGATTTCTCAAATAAAAATTACTAGGTCCAGAACATATATATTTTAAAGTTTGGTGGAAGTTGCCAAATTCTACCCCGCAAGAGGTCTGGGTTTATATTCCCTCCAATAGCGTGTGAAGGTGACTGTTTGTCCCTACATTCTTGTCAATAACGTAAATTATGATCTTTTCTAATTTTGCCAGTCTGATGATGAAAATGGTATTTATATATATGTTGATGATGTTAGATGTCTTCTCATATGTTTACTGATATTTCTTCTATAGTGTATTTCTTTTATAAACTGCTCATTTATATCCTTTGCCCTTTTATTTTTGGTGAGGAAGATTGGCCCTGAGCTAACATCTGTGCCATCCTTCCTCTATTTTGTATATGGAATGTCACCATAGTATGGCTTGATGAGCAGTGTGGAGGTTGGCACCTGGGATCTGAACCCACGAACCCCAGGCTGCCAAAGCAGAGTGCACGAACTTAACTACTATGCTACTAGGCTGGCCCCCCTTTGCACATTTTAAAAACTGAGTTTTCTTTTTCTTATAGATTGATAGGAATAATTTATATATCTTGGATATCAGTAATTTTTCATATATATTGCAAGTACTTTCTGTCATATCTTTCCATTTTGTTCATTATCTCTTTGCCTATACATAAATGTTACATTTTTATGTAGTCAATTGTGTCCATCTTTTCTTTATTACTTTTGGATCATATTGTATACATTGATAGGCCTTCCACACTCAAAGATATGAAACTATCTTTGTATATTGTTTTTTGGTACTATTATAGTTTTTTTAACATTTAAAAATTTAAACCAAACGTAGTTTCTTTTTGTGGATGATATGAGTTAGGGATTTGTCACACAATCATATTAAAACTTGGGCTTCCTTTTACCCAGTGGTTGAGATCCATTGCTTTGACTTACTTTCATTTCCTGGGCAACTTCCTGAGAGAGAATATCCATATTTGTACCTAAAATTGAAGCAGAAAACAAGCACAGTTTTTAAGATTTTTACTCACTCTATCCTAAAGAATCATAAAACTGGAAATCTGCCTTGGCAATCTGTCCTTGGGTGTTCTTTTTCCTGGGACTGGATCTCTGTGTGTCTTTTTCTGTGTGTGCCCATTGATGCATCACTCTGTTTCTCTCCCCGTATCACAAATTTCTTTTTTCTCTCTCCTTCCAAGACCTCTCTCACCTCTCTTTTTCTCCTTATTGCTTCCTTTCCTTAACCATCTATCATGTTAACCATCTTAAATGTCTTTTGAATGATTTGCTCTGGTTGTTCAATAGTATTTCACAGTCTCTATGCATTTTTGTTTGTTTTGGAACAAGTTTTAATTTGCCTAACCGTGAATTTCAATAGCCTTGTAAAATGTATGCTAAACATAAGATTTGGGGATTTCAAGCATTTACAGATGAGACTAAATTTATATTTGTTTCTTTGCGTCATAAAAACAATTTCAGAATATTGAAAACACCTTTTGAGAAAGAGAAAAATCCACTTTCATAATTATTTCACATGTATACATTTTCCAATATTTGTAATCATAGGATAAACATTTGTATTCTGCAATTCACTCATGAATGCTTCCCTATACTTCTGTGTGGTCTTGTTAGAGGCATTATAGCTGAATGGATACAAGGCGGGCGGTGTGGTTGAATTTGGCCCCTTGTTAACTAAAGGGTGATCCAGAGGGAATTACTTAGCCTCTCAGTTTCTCATCTCTTCAGTGGGGATAACAAAACCCACCCAAGGTTGTTGTGAGGATTAAAATGTGATAAGAAAACACACAATTATAAATATATCTGCTTTGGCAGAGGAGCCCATCAGCAGGGTCGTTTTGCTGAGTGTGTGTGTGCTTTCTATGCTACCATAAAAGAAGCAAAAAAAGAGGCACGTGGTTAAGCTCTCAGGGGGTGGATTCCGCCAGTCTTATTTCAATTCCTTTTGCAAGAAGAGCTCAGAATCACAACAAGGAAACTAACCCCAAAGATGAATCTGGCATGTAAACTCTTAGCCAGCTTCCTTTTGATTTTCTTCTTTTCCTCCAAAGGTAAGTTGGTGTGTGGGCCTCCACTGCCACCATTAGAAGCTTCTTTGGAGACCCCGAAGTGACCGTAAGAGTCAAGACTTTGCAGCCCAGCTTCTCCTGCCAGTGAGTCTCAAGACCTCATAACTGTCTTGCTTTTTATAGGTGCAGTCTCTAAAAAGAATATCACCATCTTGGGTGCCCTGGAACGTGATATCAACCTGGACATTCCTGCTTTTCAAATGAGTGAGCATGTAGAAGATATACAATGGAGCAAAGGAAAAACCAAGATTGCAAAATTCAAAAATGGCAGTATGACTTTCCAGAAAGATAAAACATACGAGGTATTAAAAAATGGAACTCTGAAAATTAAACATCTGGAGAGAATTCATGAAGGTACCTACAAGGTAGACGCATATGATAGTGATGGAAAAAATGTGTTGGAGGAAACATTTCATTTGAGCCTTCTAGGTAAGTCTTTGTTCCCTAAATTCCTCCATCTCATTATGGGTGCTGTTCAGCAGGTTGGGAAATAGCGTTTATGGAATGTCCCCAGCCTGACCTCGGCCTCAGCAGAGTCCTAAAGGAAATCTAATGCATCACTCCTGCCTCAGTGGAGGGCCAGCCCTGTGGGAGAGATGGAATCCACATGTGTGGAAATACACAGCTGATAGACCCTCAAGTCTATCTGCCTAGAACTCTCTCTTCAGTGGTTACAGGGCTATGGGGCTGAGTGAAAAACCTGGATTAAGGTGGCATTAATCAGAAGGAGGGGGCCAGGTGGGCAGAAGAAAAAGATGCCCATTCCAGGTGGATGACGAAGGGGTGAGTTAGGAGTCAGGCGGGGAGGGGGAGGCTGACTGGAGAGCAGTGGGTCTTCCATCTAGAGACAATTTCAAGCCAGGATGCCCTGAAGGAGTAGTTATATGGCAGGAAAGGGCTAGAAATAATGAATTTAAGGATGAACAGGCTTTGTTTCTGATCTGCTCAACATCAGAGTGATAAAAGGTGGAAGATGATTTTTGCTGACATTTGTAGAAAATACACAAGGTGTGGCCTTAAATGTCTATGCATGTACTGGGAGCGCAAGAGTGGATATTGAAGATGGAGGCAAGAAGACTAGCTAGGAAGCCCTGCTATAGTCCAAGCGAAGTGGGGAGGGGCTGGTTCGTGATTCTTAACCCTGGTTGCATGTTAGAATCAACTGAGATGCTATTAGAAGTTGCCGGTGCCAGGTCCTAGCCCAGACCAATTAAATCAGAATTTTTTAGCATGGGATGTGGGCATCAGTAGGTTCTAAAATTCCCCAGGTGATTCTAATGAGCAACCAAAGCTGGTGATCTCTGGCTTAGCCTAAAGGGTACCTGTAAAATAAGGAAGAATGAATATGCTGAGGGTCATATGTGGAGAAGAGACATTTGAGACGGCTTGGGTGCAGGAGAGAGGAAAGAGAAAGTGGAACTGAAGGGACATTCAAGTTAAAAGTCCAGGAGACGCCTGGCAGTGGGTGATTAGAAGCGAAAAGAGGAAGCTGCATTGGTTTGTAGAGGAAGAAGGAAGCCCAGCACGAGCACAGCCAGAGATTCAGTGAGCAAATAAACATTTCTGTGCTTCACACAGGAAGTGTCGCCAGAGGCAGGGCCCCCTCCTGCCTCGGTCACCCTCCAGCCCTGTTCGCTGCCAACACGTGGACCTGGCAGCAGCCCCACTCCAACAATCCCAGGCAGTGTTAACTCCCATGCAAGTGACAACTTTCCATACCCTGTCCTGCAACCTCGAATGGAGAGTACCTTCCAGAAATGGGGTGGGACCGAGAATGGAGCCAGAAGGGGCCCCTGATCATGGGCTTCGGGCACCGCAGCTCTCATGACTCCTGCCAGCCTGGCTCAAGTGTTGTGTTTTGCACATGAACCTCAGGTTTGTGTCTCATTTAGTATTGTAGTGATGATAATGGCTACCAGCCAGGGGTCAGGAGCTTGGCTGACATGATCTTGTTTAAGGCTCCCAATGATCCTGAGAGGTGGTTGTGGTTATCCCCTTATTATCTACATCTATAAGGAAATTATCTGTAAGGAAGCAGAAAGGAATTGTCCAAAGTCTCACCACTTGATGGGAGCAAAGTCAGGATCCAAAACCAGGGCTTCTTTTAGCAAGGATGGTGACTTTTTTTTTCCCCCAAAAAGCTCTATTGAGATACAATTCACATACCATAAAATTCACTTATTTAAAGTGTACAATTCAATAGCTTTTAGTATATTCACAGAGTTGTGCAACCATCGCCACAATCAATTTTAGAACATTTTCAGTACGCCCCCCCCCAAAAAAACCCCACACTCCTTGGCCAAATAACAGAGATCTTTCCATGACATAAGAACCACCTATCTGTGTGTGTGTGTGTGTGTGTGTGTGCACGCGTGAGTCAATGTCACACAGCATCCTAACTCAGTTTGTGGTCCGGTCACCATTACTTGCCTCATGGCCTAGGGCAAATTCTCTATCTGCTCTGAATCTGATTTTCATAGTAATAACTCCGTGGGATATTCAGTGAGACAGGGCTTCAATGAGACAACTAAGGAAAGGTGCCCTTCTCTCCTGGGGCACAGTACCTATTTGCTCAATGCCCATGCCCTCCCCCATCTCTTTGTTTTTCCAAGCTTCTCACAGATTCAGTCTTGGTACCCACATCTCCTTACGGTGAGGGCTGCTGCCAATGCCTGGAGAGGCAATAGAAAGCCCCTTAAGAGCAGATGTTAGTGGAGAAGGAGTTAATCCTAGCAACTTCGAATTAAGGAGTCCTCATCTCTGAGTTGTGGCCCCACTTGCCCCGGCTGTGCCTCTGGTAGGAAGCTCTCTTACAGAGAGGATCTGTACAAAGCTGGGACCGCAAGAGGCTGCTCACCCCTGTGTCCTTTACATTAGTGAAATCCTGAGAAAGATTTAAAAGCCCCCAGCAGTAAGTTACTACTTAAATTAAGAACACATCATTTAAAAAGATGGTGGAGATATATATTTATTGATATTCATAAAGGAAAGAATTTCATAATAGATCAGTAAAGAAAAAAGGCAGACTACAAAGTCGTATGATCCAGTTTTAGTTTTTAAAACTTTATATGTGTACGTATGCATAGAAAACATCTGGTTGAGATATACATCAAAACATTAATAATTATTGACTCTGGGTAGTGGAATTGCAAGTGATTTTTAATCTTCTTGAAACGTGTTTTTTATTTTATCAATTTTTACAATGATCGGATCTTACTCTTATAAATAGAGAAAAAGAATATTTCCATTTTGAAAAGGCAAGCGAACTCCTTGACTCAGCCCCTAGACTGCGCACTGAGCCTGTCTGGTATGGTCATATTTCTCCATCCTCTTCATTCCCGGTCACGCAGATGCCCAGGACGGGAAGGAAACAATTTCTGCTTGCCTATGTATTGGGACAGAAACGAAATTTGGTGGGAAAGTTCACGGAGAAGATGTCACTGCCTGCGAGTCAGGGAGGGAGGAGATCACTGAAAAATAACCTGCCATCTGCACAATGAGTGGACAGAAACTGAGAGAGAAAGGTGGCAAGTCCGGGGAAAGAGCATAAAGGATGAGGGAAAGAACAGAGGAGAAAAAGGAGCTGGTCACACAGCTGGGAAGTGGTGGAGTGGGGTTTGGACCTGGCCTGTCTGACGCCAAGGCCTTTTCTTTTATGATGCAGCCTTTGAATCTTATCATGTCAGAAAAGGAGAGGCAGGGAGTTTATGATTATGAATGTACCGACTATCACCAATAACGTCAGTACCTAACAATTTGCCAAGGGCTTTGTCACATGTTGTCCTTGTTGTGACATGGGGCATGTCTTTCTTATCCTTCTCTTATAGATGAGGTCCAGCAGGGCAGAGTGGGTGGCCAAGCATCTTTCGATGGAGATCGGGGCTGGTGCTCCAGAGCTTGAGATGCACACCCGGCCCTCTGCTCCCAGGACCCTGATGGGCGGTTGAGGGAGGAGGGTTTCATTTGTGACCAAGGCCCCAGGCCATACATGTAAGGATGCCTCAGGGGAGGCTTCCTGGCTGCTCTCGAAATGTGCTCCCTCCAGCTCCTGAGTGAGTGCGGATCAGGATGTGGTCACCCTCTGACCCGTACTATCGAACTTGGATGCGGAACGGTGAGCTGCTGTCCTGCTCTGCCGTTTATTAGTGGGGGCCCTTAGACCACCCACTTATTCTCTCAGAGCCCTGGGCATTTATCTGCAAATGGGAAAAAAAAAATATCAGCCTCTCTGTTTGTTTGGATTAAATGGTATCATGTAAGTGAAAACATTTTAAGGTAGAAAACAGCACATAAACACTTGGTATGATATATTTTTTGCTGATATAATGTATTTATGAACTTTACCGGAGATCAATTTGTTCTGAGTGTGCTGTATAAATAAAATAAAATAAAAACGATTTTTGAAAATAGCTAGGGGGTCTTTGAAATTGTTCCCTGGTCCCAAACTGATTCCATTTCCCCTCTATAAATAGGTACATCTATTAAAATCAGAAAATCGCCTCACATGAATTGGATCTTTATTTTCTTTTCAGAGATGGTCTCAAAACCTAATATCTCCTGGAGCTGCACCAACACCACCCTGACCTGCGAGGTGACAAAAGGAACTGACTTTGAGTTAAAACTCTATCTAAATGGGAGAATGATCCAAAAAAGTCCTCGCAAAGTCATCGTATACAAGCGGGCCAGCAACCAAATTGCGTCCTTCAAGTGCACAGCCAATAACACAGTCAGCGAGGAAAGCAGCTCTGTGGTCATCAGGTGTACAGGTGCGTGGCGGGCGCTGGTCAGACGTCCCAAGTTCACATCACACACACCTTCTGCCAGGCCCACGGCAACGGGCCACTCCAGGGCTCAGGTGCCTGGGCTGGGAGGCAGCCTGGGCTCAGGATGAGAACTGAAGACACACCTCCAGGGAACCTTCAAGGGGAGCCTTCGAGTAGATGGTGTTCTGTAGTTACCCACCTCAGGCCTGCTCCCACCCAGCATGATTTAACCTCAGGCAGTTAAAAAGATCCTCTTCTGGGAGAAAGAATTGCCAAACTGAAGAGGTGGAAGGAGCTGTAGAGGTTACCTCATGCAAACCCCCATTTCCCAGAGAGGCAAACTGACTTGCCCAAGGGACCACGGTTTCGACTCACAGGGTAATGATCGAGAAGGGAGCAAACAAGATTCCTTTTGGGAGGGGAGACGGCCAGCACTTCCTGTCAGAGGCAAAGGTACAAGGACTGTGGAAACCCAGGAGTTAGGGGTATGGGGGGGGGAAGGCTCAAGGCCAGGGAGGATCATGGACACAGTGAGGTGATGCTCCTCCTGCCACAGAGCGGACAGCACGGTGTTGGCGCCAGCACGAGGAAGTCCAGAAGCTCCGAGAGTCTAAGCTCTTCTCTGGTGTCCCAGCTTGACATGACCCCTAGACTTAACTTTTGAGAGCTGGCCTGCTAGAGTGCTCGAGCTCTGGGAGCCAGAGGCCTGGACTTCTAGTTTGGGTCTGTGCAAACTTGGCCAGAATTCCTTCCCTGTCTCTGGGTTTCAGCCTCCTGGTCCACAAAGAAAATGAGGCCTGTGATCCCCAAGAGTTACTAGTCTGATACTCTTTGACTACCTTTCCAGTGCTGTCTGGTCAAACCCCCTGAAGGGAAACTGAGTACAAACAGTTATTTGGCCAGAGGTCCTGAGTTTCTACAGTAACTATGGCTGGTCAGTGATGTTAGGAAGCAGCCCTGAGTTGGTGTGAAGTCAGAAGTGAGGCTTTTTTGCATATGCTTTGAATGACTTATCTATTGCTGCATAACTGATTACCCCACATTTAGTTATTATCGCACGGTTTCCACGCATCATGAATCTGGGAGGGACTCAGCTGGGTGGTTCTGGCTCAGAGTCTTTCATAGGGGCTGCAGGCATGTCACTCATGTCCAAGCTCAGCCATGTGGGCCATTGAGCTGCTCACAATATGGCAGCTCGCTTCCCTCAGAGCAATCTAAGAGAGCAAGAACGAGTGCCTGAGACAAAAGCCGGGATCTTTTTATAACTTGATCTCAGATGTGATATATAGCCCATCACTTCTGCCTCGTTCCAGTGATTAGAAACAACTCAATGAGTCCAGTCCATGTTCAGCTGGAGGGGATTACCTAAAGGAGGGAACACTAGGAGGCAGAGACCCTTGGGGGTCACCTTAGAGTCTGCCAACCACACACTCAGACCAGCATCACTTCACCCTGTCATGTTTGCCCCGCAGCCGTCCCTCCACGTGCCCCCATAACGAAGGCACAGCGAATGAAGCGGCCTCTCCTTGACTTCCCACCTTCTTTTCCGCTTTGAGGAGGTGCTTGATTAGAGTTGCCAGATATAACAAATAAAAAGACAGTATAGAGTCATGTATCACTTAACGCCGGGGATACGTTCTCAGAACTGCGTTGCCAAGCGATTTTGTGGTTGTGCGAACATCACAGAGCGCACTTCACAAAGCCGCAGGGTATAGCCTACTACGCACCTAGGCTACATGGTACAGTCTTATGGGGCCACCGTCGTATATGTGGTCTGTTGTTGACTAAGATGTCGTTCTGCAGTGCATGACTGTATATATGTTCTAAATGTTGCATGGGACATACTTATACTAAAAGTTATTCGTTCTTTCATTCAATTTTAACTGGGAATCCTGCATTTTATCTGGCAACGCAACTCCAAGTTTATTATAACTAGATCCCACCAGTATAAAAATGTGGTGCAATAGGGAGGGAGGGAAGGAGGGGGAGCCGCAGGAAAAGCTGAGGTTCTAAGACTGGAACGTTCATGTCCCTTACTCTGTGGTGCAGAGCAGGAGCTGGCCCCAAAAGGGCCACTCAAGAGACGGGAGGAACACCCGGGGGAGATTGGGGAGGAGCAGACTGCTCTGGAAGACTGAAAGGAATCCGGACACTTCATCCTAAAAGGCCAGGGCCGAGAGGAGCAATGATCAGACTAACCATTTGGCTCAGAAAAGGTGAGTAAATACTGAGAACCAAGCTACTAGGAGGAAGCAGCAGCTTTGGACACATGAGGACTCTACCACATAAACTTTCGGGCGCCTTATCTCCAAGAGCGAGCGCAGAGAGGAGTGTGGTTGGATTTAGAGACTGTGAAGATGGAGTTTTGAATGACAGAGACTCAGCTGCTTCCGAGACAAGCTGGAACGTTCTCCCACGGAAAGTACCACCAGGCACCCCAGAGGGCTGCACTGGACAACCTGCGAAGAGACTGTGGGAGGCGTTCCCACCTCGCTCAATGTGCCCAAGATAAGGGAGTGGCCGCCCTGCGTGAGGACTCGAGAGAAGACGAGCTGGTGGCTGCCCAGCTCAGCCACGTGCTCCCCGCTTGTTCCAGGCCTGCGCTGATGCACCCGGATGAGGCCCTGGGAAGTCCTTGGCTCAGCCAGATGTAGACTCAGCAGCCCCAGCCCTTCCTCCAGGCCGGCAGAGCTTCCAGGACCCAGATCCTCGCTTGGCCCAATTTCACAGCAGTTTAGGATTCTGCCTCTCCTTGTGGAAACCGCTTCCTCCCCAGAGCGTAAAAAGGTGTGTCACTGGCAGGCAAAGAATGGGTCAGAGAGAGACGTGAGGAAAGAAAGCAAGGATCAACAAGCCCCTGCAGGCTACAAGACTGTGCAGTTGGGTTTCTGGGCCTCTGGCTTGCTCCCTGGGCCCCTCCTGGGCTTCACGTATAATAGAATCTTCCTAGGGATGTTTGGGTGAAGAAAGGTTCCCTTGTGATGCTGGGCTGGGCTCATAGTTTGTCCTCCAGGTGTCCGAGTCCCCTGACCCCTGGCTCAGGCTGCTGCCTCTCTAACTGCCGTTGGCTCACAAAGGGCAGACAGCCCATCGGCCCTCTCTGGAAACAGCTTCCAGAAATGCCAGTGCACAGAGCTCTACTAAGAGCAAGACTTTACCTTTCTGTGTTGTTTTACAGTTTACAAAGCACTTTCACATCTATTATCTGATTAACTTCCAACAGTCACCCGTGACATAAGTTTCATTATCTCCATTTGATAACGGAAGGAACAAGCTCAGAGAGGTCTAGTAACTTGCCAAAAGTCCTACAGCTCTTGCCTAGGAAAGCCTGCACTCAAACCCATTTCTCTGAACACTGAGTCCCTGTCATCTTCATTGCATTACGTGACCAAAGTTCTGCGAGCTGAAGATGAAGTCCTCTGCTGCTGCTAACTCACCGTGTGTCTCAGTTTCTCTCACAGGCCAGGAAACACCTGTGAGGGGGTGCTTACTGGGAGGTCAGGGGGCTGGGCTGAACAAGTGGAACTTTTACCCTGAGTCTCTAGAAACTGCCTGGTCAAGAGGGTGAGAAAAAAAAATTGTGGTGTAGGAAGGCAGCCAGAGATGAAGCTGGATAAACACTGCAGCAACCTCGAGACCATGGGCTGCTTAAAAGAACCACTCAGCCACACATGCGGTGTGGCCTCAGGCAAACTCATCCTCCCTCTCTGGGCCCTGTTGGTGAAACTAGATTGTCTCTAAACCTCTTCTCAGATCTAAAGTGCTGTGCCGTTCTTTCCCATGGGCGGCAGTAGGCGGTGCCCTGGCACATGAAGAATCAGGCATTTCTAGGCCGGGAGAGCAGTTCCCTAAGGAGCCTTCTGAGGGGGCTTATCCTGGACACTGCGCCCTTTCACGAATTGGCTGAGTTCATCGCCCTCCATGAGCCTGGCCTTTATGAGGTTGATAAGTCTCATGAGGCTCTTTTAGCTGATAATGTGGGAGGTGGGAGCCCTTGGCCAGAAGACGAGATGCCCCTCTGCCCAGGCCCGCCCCCGCCAGCCCCCTTCTGTTTCTCTTGCAGAGAAAGGTCTGGATATCTATCTCATCAGTGGCATCTGTGGAGGCGGCATCATCCTCTTTGTCTTTTTGGCACTACTCATTTTCTACATCAGCAAGAGGAAAAAACAGAACTCTCGGAGAAATGGTAAGCTCCTCTCTTCTGTCCCACCATGGGCCGGGCAAAATCCCCATGGCCACAACTCATGGAGATGACACTTTGATTCTGGAAAGAAAATAATGGAGACGAGCAGTTTCAGAATGTCACGATTGTAAGTGGCGGTTACAGTTTGTTCCATTTTGTGGTTAGCTTGATTTTTGAAAAACAGATTCTCAGTGGTGACACTGTGGGAGTTCTGAGAAGCTGAATCCAGGTCGGCCTCATTGGAATCCACCAGCTGAGGCCGATGCAGGGGAAGGCTGTGTGGACGTATTTTGAGTGAGCCACTCTACGTGGGTAGAAAGATTAGCTTCAAAACACCATTTCTATGAACAAACATCTTGTGCTCTCCTGAGCGGATGGCCCAAGGTGTGCTGAGGACCAAGCACCCAGGAACATCGTAACATTTCATAGCATCGGGGACTCATGGGAACACACTTTGTTCTAAAACCAAGCGGTCACAGCGCCTTTTCCGATTTGCTGTTCAGAGGGGATGTGTTAGGGCTGGGACTGTTTCTTCCTCAAATCAGGCCTGTCCGACAACCCGCCAAGAATGAAAACGATATGCTCATAAGTAGGGAGTTGGCTCAAGGAGCATCCAGGCCACCAAGGTGGCATGTTCAGATAATGACACACCTGGTGTCTCTACGGGCGCTGTGATGGGGGTGTAGAGACGCCACACTGCAGGTGGGTCCAGCAGGGGGCGTTCAGCCATCAGCAGGACAAGCAGCCAGGTGGGCCGGCCCCTCGGGTTCTGTGCAATCTCACATTCGCAGCAGGGCTGGGCCCTCTCGCTCTGGGTCTGTGCCTAGAGCAAGCCCAGCACGCCCATGCCAGCTGCCTCCAGTACTACCCAGAAGGACCTGGTCTGCACCTCCCCAGGCAGTGGTGGCCTCGGGCCACCTTGGGATTTGGCCTCCTTACTTCAGACTTCTTTCCTTGGGTCTCCTTCAAGCCACTGCCCCTCAGCCCCATGTCCTGCCACACGACTGCCCCCAGCATGGCCCCATGCTTCCACCACCATCTTTTGCACACTCCCACCACAGTGGAACAGAATTGCTTGCTGAGTCCCATAGGCACCCACGGCTTCCTCACCTCTGAGCCCTGCTCAGGCTGTTCTCCACCTCCTTCCCCCTGCAAAGCCCCTTTCTCCATCACTTAATGGTCAAAGATCACATATTCTTCCAAGGTGGACCCCACGTGCCACCCACAACAAGGCAATCTCTGGTTTCGCCAGGCTGGAGTTCACCAGGCTAACGTGAGGATTAGCTCATGGTGACAAAGCAGTCACTTGTGCCAGGCACTAACGTCTGTAATACATGCTTTATATTCTTTATCTTGTCCAACTTTCTGAGTGATCTTATGAGACAAGTAATATTCATACAGATGAGGAAATTTAAGCTCAGTGAGGTTAAATGATTTCCCCCAAATCCTCTGGTCTGTAGGCTGAGTCAGGACTGAGGTGAGGTGAGCAAGGAGCCCAGGGTACAAAACTTAAGGAGACCCACCCGCTGAGGGTTGAGCCTACCCTTGCACAACCCTGAGAGTTCGGACCTCCTGAAATGCTGTGCCTGGGAGCCTTGCTTGCTTCCCTCTCATCCTGGCCCTGGGTGGAGTCACCGAGAGATGGAATGAGGGAGGAGGACACTGAGCCTGGAGCAGTTTCCTGGAGCTGATGTTTGGGCGGTGGCTGGAGTTACAGAGGAGTGTGCGCATGCTGAGGCCCACAGTCCTGCTCTGACCTGGCAGCTGCGCAGAGCCATCGTTAGCCTCATCTGTGCAAGCCAGCCTGAGGTCTCAGCCACCCGGCCACACCCCACTCCTCCTCCCAGAACTCATGGGGCTCTTGGTCTGCACCTCTCTGGGGACCCTGGGCTCCTCCCAGACACTGACATTGTGATTTACAGTCCCAGTTCGTGTCACTTACTTGACTGTAGGCTCTCTGAGGGCAGTGTGTCTCAGTCATCATTGCCACTTAGCAATGGCACCTAATGCCTAGAAGATGGGGAATAGATGTTCAAAGAACAAATGAACAAAACGGTGGGTGAACAGACTAGCCAACAAATGGCCAGCCCAGGCTTGCCACGTATGGGACGAAAAAGGACTCTCCCAAGTCCCACAGATGGGAACTGGGGTGAGGGTCAAAGTCCCGTCCATGGCCCTCTGGCATGACCTCAGCTCCCTTGGGGCACCAAGGACAGCATGGAGGACATGTTTTTCCCCCTCTGTGTCCTTTTACTTTGTGTGCTTAGAGCACGCTGGCCTCTCGCATGTCAAAACCACATCATTTGACTTTGATTTCACATTCAAAGCCACCTGAGGCCAGACTTCCAGCAGCTGGAGTCACAGGGTGATGCTTCCTAAGCCGCACAGCCCTGTACCAGTGTGAACGGCCATCCAGTCACCCCAGGGAGAGCGTCCTCTTCCTAGCTCCCTCGGGAGCGCTGCAAGGATGGCCTTGGGCACAAGGACCGGAGTACCTGACTTGCAGGCCAAAGGAGGCCAGCGGGGCCAGCGGGGCGCTCCAGGCCGACAGCAGCTGAGCGTCTTGCAGACTTCCTGTGTGATTTTAAAATAGCAAAGGAAAACTACATTACTCTGAGTTGTGGGCCTGTCCTGATGGACTGCAGTCACACAAAACAGAGAATCCCAGAGGGGTGACCATAGGAGCATTTGTTTTCCTTCCAAGCCAAGAAAACAGGGCTTGCTTATGAATTTATGAGAAACTAGTTAGTTTCTGAGGACTAAAATGCCCCTTGGATGTGCTCCAACCCCTCTCCGGAATGTGGGCTGCATTACAGCGGAACTGAGTGAAAGATCAATGGAGAAAGCCATCGGAAGGAAGGGAGTTACTAATGTCCCCTCTGACTCCTCAGATCCTATCACAAGGGCTCTAACCACCACGATGGGCTAGCTCTCAGGGCGTGGGCTCTAGGACCACACAGTGGCAGGGCTCTGGGGTCTGAGTGTCTGCTCTGTGCCGGGGAGACTCGAGCCCAAGGCCCTCCTCTCATGTCTCCTTGCCTCTGGCTCCCAGAGCTCTCTAAAGCCCTGGGCTCTCACTCTACCTTGCTAGTGGGCCTCCCATACAAGACCTGGGACCCTTAGAGGGTAGAGGTGGCTTCTGCTTCTTTATCACATCCCCCAAAGCAGCTGGCACGACACCTTGTCCATAGGAGGGATACTCAATAAATCATTCCATTGATTGTCTCTTGCCAAGATGAACTCTCTAGAGCTTTTGTTGTTACAGATGAAGAGCTGGAGATAAGAGCCCACAAAGTCATCTCCGAGGAGAGGGGCCGGAAGCCCCACCAAATTCCAGGGTCAACTCCTCTAAATCCAGCTGCATCCCAGCCTCCTCCACCACCTAGTCATCGTCCCCAGGCACCTGGTCATCGCCCCCAGGTACCTGGTCATCGCCCCCTTCCTCCTGGCCACCGTGTCCAGCACCAGCAGCAGAAGAGGCCAGCTCCTACCCCGGGCACACAAGCTCACCAGCAGAAAGGCCCTCCCCTCCCCAGGCCTCGAGTACAACCAAAACCTCCCCGTGGGGCCACAGAAAACTCGTAACTCTGTCTCCTGACACAGCTGTCCCCTTCCTCTAATGAAGGGTGTTCCACCAGTAGAACATTATTGCCTCCCGAGCTCGTGGGCCACAGCCACATCTGCACCTTCTAACTCAGCCACATGGTGTAATCTGGAGTCTGGAGTCTGTGGCCTCCTCATAGATCTCCACCACGCCAGGAAGTGAAAAACAAGGTTTAGGTTGTTGGGCGACCAAGCACAAAATCCTAGAGGTGGCCTCCTCGCTCTCTCGGATCACGTGCAGATGTGAGCTGTCGAGCGATGGCTGTGCCTGGGTCTCACTGCAAGCAGCCAGCCTGCTCAACAGACTCCTGGGTTTCTCATGTGCCTGGTGGACACTTGCCCAGTGTCTCGGGAGTAGAAGTAAAATAAAAGCTTTGACTTGACCCCAGTGTCCACTCATTGTAGAAAGGAGCCCAGCATCAGGCTGACGAATGAGAAAGAGGCTGGTTGGTGTGACAAAGGATCAAATTTGGTCACCCTCATTCACCCGGGCCACCTTCATCCCCACCACAGCAACTAAAACATGCTCCCCAGTTCTCAGCTGCAAAGCTAGCCCCACAACCTGCTAGTAGATTTGTATCATGAACTGAAACCTCTATACACAAACTTCAACAAGAGGCACCAGAAAACGTAATCGTTGGGTTTCACTTCCTTGACTGTTCAGGCAGGGTCACAATGCTCTGCAGAGGTGACTTCGAAAGAGGGGACCCCATGAGTGCTAGAGGTGCCGTGAGCCTATCAGACGACACACGAAAGGTCGGGCAAGAGATAATTCGGTCGAATCAAATCCTAAGTGTCTTAAATGACCATTATGAAAAGGTCAAACCCCATTCCTGCTAGCTGTACTTTGGGGGAAGTGGGGAGAAAAAAAAAGTTTTCAGTTAAGGTTCTAAAACAATAGACAGTGAGAAGGCACCTGCTTTGAAATGTTGGTGCCGTGTTTGTGGTCCCGTCCGCTCGCTTTCTCCTGGCTTCTTAGATTTGCTAAACCTTGTCAGGCCCTGGCAGGAAGCTCTGAGGTCTAGACCACAAAGTCTATGTATATTTAGGACTTCCTGTGAGAGCTCACTGAGGGTTGAACTGCTTTTTCCTCTGAACCTGAGCATCTATTGTTTTAGCACCCAGGGTTAATTAGAAGGATAATGATGAGTGCAACCCCATAGCCTCCTGAATTTCAAACATGAAATCCAGCCAAGTAACTGTCATTGCTGGAACTACCCTGTAGAAGAGATGAAGGTCTGAGCGCTGCCCGCCTTCTCATCCTCATGGAGTCCTGAGCGAGTCCATCAGCCATCTTGCCAGAATGGCTCCTGTCTCATTCTCTTCATGAAGCCTTTCCTGGCCTTTCTAGGCTTGTGCCCTGCCTTTTTTCTGAAATCCTGTAGTATTACATATGGTACAGCACATATACTGCCTGAACTATTCAATCCCTCATCATTCTTTCAGTCATCAAACAGTTACTGAGCCTCGACGACACGCCAGGCTCTGTGCTGGGTACCAGGAACACAGAGGTGTGCCATTGCATCTTTGCCTTCAAGGAGCTCACAATCTAGTTGGGAGAGGGGTGGACTAATTACAGGACAAATGTAACATACCTTGTTAAGCGTAGGTCAGAGGCGAGTACAGGAGCCCAGGGGAAGGACTTGGAACCCAGATTGGGTGGTGGGATTGGGGTGGCACAGAAAGCTTCCTGAAGGAGGTGCCATTGGAATTGAGTTGTAATAAGTTAACAGAACCGGTGAGGCAAAGGTGCGGAATTACCCACACAGAGAGAACAGCAAGCGGCTCACGTCGGCTACCTGTTTACCCAAGCACACTGCTCCTTTTTCCACTACTACGTTTCATTGTTTTTAAGAGGCACTGTTATTTTACATATCACTAAGAAAGGAAAAAGCACTCTCAGTTGCATTATAACAAATGCTAAGGTACAATCAATTTTTAGGCACAACCCCATGTCTGAGATGTTAAAATGTGCCTTTTAGAATTGATGAAGGGGCCGGCCCGGTGGCGCAGTGGTTAAGTTCACATATTCCACTTCTCGGAGACCCGGGGTTCCCCAGTTTGGATCCCTGGTATGGACATGGCACCGCTTGGCAAAAGCCATGCTGTGATAGGCGTCCCATGTATAAAGTAGAGGAAGATGGGCATGGATGTTAGCTCAGGGCCAGTCTTCCTCAGCAAAAAGAGGAGGATTGGCAGTAGTCAGCTCAGGGCTAATCTTCCTCAAAAAAAAAAAGAACTGATGAAATACATAATCAGCTTCTTGAGGACAGTGGACATTTCTCAGCATTTCTCAGCATTGCTCACAGCACTGTATCGAAAATATCATGAGCTCACTGATTCAATGGGTGAGTCCAGTCCTGAAGAGAGGAAGGGAAGTGAACATACGTGGCATTGTCATACGTTCCTCCCTGCCGTGCTGGAACCTCCATCGTGACACGGAAACAGAGGCCTTGCGCAGGATTTGGGCTGCAGTCATCCACTTCTTTGATATTGTGTGACCTTCAACTGACCCTGTCCCAGAGCATGGACTTTCTGAGAACGGTCAGGCCAACTGCACTAGAATAGCTTGCGGAGCTTGTGAAAAAATACTGATTCAGCAGCTGAGGTTAGGGCCCAAGCCCCTGCATTTGTATCAGCCCTCTGGTGATTCAATGGGGTTTCAAATTGGGGAACCACAGGTCTGTTGGTCCTCAAATCATTAATCATCAGTGACTAGTCAAACTTGAGGACGGTATAAACAATACAGCATTGTAAGAAAAGCAGTGACAGCCCAGTTAACTAATCCCCTGCGGGAAATTTCCCATACAAGGAAGTCAGCCATGTTGCAAAAAACATCCAGATAATTTGAGGGCCTGGGACACCCTAGAGTGTCAACGAAGGTAGAAAATTCGCGTCTTTTTGGCAGCATCCCCGCCCTCCCTAAAGAGCGGTTTGATCCTAGCAGCTGGGTCAGCCTAGCGCCAAAAGTCCTCGGCTGTCTAGAGATTTCGTCTCAGTCTTCCTCTGCACAGGCTCTGAGCCAGGCCCTGGGGCTCTCCTGCACCTGCCGGGCTGCAGCCACACAGCTCGTCAAGCTCACCCATATGTTCCCAACCTCAGGGTCACCACCCACACCTGCCCCTGGCTCTTCACCTGTCCACTCTTCTTTAAGCACTCAAATAGAAGGTCATGAGAGGGGCCTTCCCTGACTCCTGAGCTCTGCGGTGACGTGAACCTTGTCAGACCATGTCGTCTCTGTGTCCCGTTCTGTGGTCATCCAGTTCTGAGTAGGAGGAGGCCCCCAGGTACTGGGGCCAGAAGGTTCTGACTCTCTCTCCCTGGCTTTGCAAACTTGAGTAACTTACTCAGCCTCTTTGAACATTGGTCTCCTCATCTGTAAAAGGGGGCTCGCACCTCGCAGGGTTAGAGTGAGGATTAACTGGAAATAATGTACGGAAATGTCACAGGTATGTCCTGGTACAGAAGACATCTGCTAACTGTGAGCCTTCTTCCTGGCTTGATACCTGAGAAGGAATATCCTGGATAGCAGATATGAGTGGCCTCGTTATTAGAAAGAGACACAGCCTCTTATAATTAATAAATAAGCACTCTGTAAGGCGACTCAGTGTGCTGAGTTTGATTCACTGAGTTAGCTTCCTAACTTCAGGCTACACAGGATGAACGGATAAAATCCTATGCCGGATTTATTAAAAGCTCAAGAAGACGCCTGTGAGACCCCCCACCAAGCCAAGACCGAACCACCAGCCTTCTGTCACCTCCCTGACCCTATGAGCAGAGCTACCATAATAACACATCTGGACATCACTCCTTAAGACAGCCTGGTGGTTATTCACAGCAACACAACCAGGAGGGGGGAGGCAGGGGAAATTCTCATCTTTCTGGTAGCCTACCTGTCTACACAAAACCTACCCACTGCTCAGGGCTGGCGTAGGGGAGGTGCTTACAGCAAATGTTTGGGGGTGCAGAATCCACCTTCATGGATTCAAGCAAACAGTCCACCAAGCCTGGCAGTTTGGAATGAACTGATGCGGCAGAGCCCAGCCACAAGGATGCGGGAGGCAATACCTTGATTGCAGGAAGTTGTCACTTGGGGAGGGGGCAGGGCAAGGGCAACAGTGGAGGAAGTTTTAGTTTAGAATAGCAGCCTAACCCATGTGTCAGCCTTCACTCCCTTCTGAAACCCAACAAAAATAACATTAAACTTCACAAAAATAAAAGATGTAAACCACAAGGACAAAGAGAGCAGAGAGAGGAAAAAAAACAGTAGCACAATTTTGGGAGCTTGAAAAAGTAGAAGGAAGGTGGTAACTGACTAAGAAGACTGCAATGGAGAAAGCCACGTGCCAACTGACTGACTCCAACAAATCTTCAAGAGGCGCAGGAATTGGCAGATCTAGGTTTATCTCCAGAAGTAGGAATGATGAGGCTACAATGGACACACTGGTTAGAGATCTGCATGAGAAGCAATTAGATCCCAGATTCTGTCCCCTACAACAAGAAGATCAGTCACTGCCCAGCCGAGGCCTGCAGATTAATTCTCTGGAGATGGTAAAACAGAGGGTTTCTGGATTGTGGGCACCATGCACAGCTGATAGAAAGGGACTATATTAAAAACAAGAGGATTAAATAAAAGTTTTCTACTGAATGTTGAGACTGAGCTGGGAGGACCCCCACCCAGGGTGCAGAAATCAGGCAGACTATTCATAATATTTTTCAGGCAGGATATTGGAAAAGATTTATCAGCTTGAAAAAAAATCTTATCAAAAAAAGATTTAATGACATTGCCATCCAGGGTTCCCCAATGAAACCACCCAGCTAGATGAGCCCAGAGTGAAGTCTGTAATCGCTAAGTCCCTCTACTCACGCAGAGATTCCAGTCTTTACTGTGTCCCTCTGCAATATAAGCAGACAGTTCAGGACCCCCATGGATATGAGGAAAGCATCTACATGAAAGACAGGGGCTCAAAGAAACACACACAAACATCCGAGGCAAAGGAGGAAAACTTAAAAAGCACTCTGCCCTTAATGTGCTCAAAGGGATGAGACAATATGGCACCCATGCAAAAAGAACAGAGTGCCATGGAAAAAGTCTATTCAAAGAACCAGGAGTGTTCTTGGAAATTACAAATATAATAGCAGAAGTGGAAAACTCAACAAAAGGGCTACAAGAACACATTGAGGAAACTTCTCAGATGATAGAGCAAAAATGCAAAGAACAAAAACAGTAAAAAAAAGATTTTGAAATTAGAAAACAGGTCTAATAGGTCCAAAATCTAAGTCATGGGCATTGCAGATAGAGAAGAGTAGAAGCAGAAGGGAGTTTATTGTCGACAAAATAATTCCAAAAGATTTCCTGAATGGAAGGATGTCAGTTTCCATA